ATTTCCTGGAGGTTGGAGTGATTAGTGAAAAGGACAGCGAGGGTCAAAGTCTCGGTGCTCCAGCTGGTTGAACAGGGTCCACTGATACCTCTGGGTGGTCCGATATCGTATTGCTCATGATGCAGTCGATGTTGAGGAGGATGGACGAGATTGATGCATCCTTGTCTCAGTCCAGACTTTGCAGGAGAGAGTGTTGTCAGTGATTACACTGCATTAAAAGTGTTTGTACAACTTTCCTATGATGGTTATGATTTTTGATGGAAATCTACAGAAGCTCATTATCTTCCAAAGGCTTTCTTGAAATCCACACAAAGATGTGTTCTATTATAAGTACTACTCCATGTTGTTTCACAGTGCAATGGTCCAGTCCATACATCCATACCTGTCAACCCACACGGTTTACCCGTATTCTTGTACAGGGAAATTGAGCTTTCAGGTCCATACGGCATTCAGCCGTTTCAATATGGCAGTTTATTTGTCTATTTGTTTGTGTTTTTCTCTTGTGATGGGATTTTGTTAGGATGATTGTTGAAATTTATAAGGACAACGGGGTGACCAATAAGGTAAGAATTGGTCTGTAATAAGAGGGTTGACAACTATCTACATTCTCTTCCTCTTTTGAATCCCGCTCGCTCCTGCCTGAGCCTGGTGTCAATGGCTGTCTCCATTCTGTTGAGGAGAACGCTGCTGAAAACCTTGCTGGGAATGGATAGTAAGGTGATTCCTCGCCAGCTATTGCAGTTCTTGAGGTTTCCTTTCTTTGGGGTATGTTAATGATGAGACGTTTAGTCCAGTCATCGGGGATGTTGTCTGTGGCCCAAATGTTATGGAAGAGGTCTGTCAGAACCTTGGCAGCTGTGGGAATGTTTTTTTAGCATCTTTGCGTGGATTTTATCCTGTTGCACATGCCTTGCCACTCTTGAGAGATTTGATAGAACCTCAGATATGTCAGGAGGACCGGTGTCAATGTCAAGGATATCATTTGTTGATGGGATGTTGGCTGGCTGTTCTGGTTCAGGGAGGTTGAGCACTTCTTGGTAGTGTTGGACCCATCTAGCTGCTTGTTCACTCTCAGAGGTAATGGTGTTGTTATTTGTGTCTGTATTGGGAGCAGATTGGTTGTAATGTCTGTCCCAAAGACGCTAGGTGGTCCTTGTAGACTGTGCTCAAGTCTCCATTGGTCTCCAGCCTCCTCAGCTTCACTAGCCAGGTTCTCAACAAAGGCCGTCTTGTCTCTCCTGGCTCTCGCCTTGACTTATCTGTCCTTGTTATTGTTGGCTATCTGGGCCTGTTCTTGTAATCTTGGTGATTTGGAGTTTAGTTGCTTTTTTAATTAGTTTTCTCTCTTTAAATGTCTGCCATGTACCCGGTGTTATCCACATCTTTAGCCCCTTTTGTTTGAAACCTAGGACCCTTTGTGCTGTTTCATTATAGGTGTTCTTGATGTTATCCCATTTTCTGTTGATGTTTTATTCTTTCTCCATATCAGTGGTGGTATTTATCAAACTAAAACAGTCTTTAGCTCCATGACAAACTCTGTGATCTTCTTCGGGCACTTGATTTTGCAATGTCCAAGTTGTTTCCGGCACTGACCTTGTGGTATGACCCTCTTGAGCTTGATAGTAACAGCGGCAAGGTAGTGGTCGGTGTATGCATCTGCATCACGGTATGTTCTAACATCCTGGAGTGACCCACACGTCGCTTTCCATCGATAATATATGTGGTCAATCTGGTGGTGGTGCTACCATCAGGAGACTTCCAGGTGAGTTCATGTATGTTCTTCTGGGGGAAGATGGTCCCACCAATGACAGGGTTGTTGTTCATACAAAAGTCAACTCGTTCCCCATTGTTATTCCTCTCATCACTTCCGTCGTGGTTGGTGTTGGGTTTCACTTTAGCGTTCATATTGCCGATAACGAGGAGGATGTCATGCTGGGGCACCTTTGAAACAGCCAGCTGTAGTTATTCATACCAGTCCTCTTTGCTCTCTTCCTCTGCCTCATTTGTTGGTACAGAGCACTGCAACATGGTGAGTTTGCAGAACTTCGACTTGAGGCGCACTCGAATGAGCCTCTCACTCACTGGCTCCCATCCAGTAAGGATCTGGCTTTCTCCTTAGAGAGTGCGATGGCAGCACCATGTGTATGGATGTTCTCATGGCCTGTGTATGGCACCACTGATCCGTCATTCGTCACAAGACGTCCAAAGCTGGTCCAGCGACATTTACTTATCCCCAGGATGTCGAGATTGTACATGTTCATCTCGCTGAGGACTTGTGCTGTCTTGGAGGTCTCGTACATGGTTCTAACATTAACATGGGCCAAGGCGGAGCTTGGTTTTTGGCCCCAGTAGACTCTCTTTCATACTCATGACTTACAATGGCTGGCTTAGAAGAGGTCCTGGAGTGTTGCAAAAAAAGTCTTCGGGATCTGAGTGGGGACCATCCTCATGAGGTATAGTAATTTGGAAAGGATCGTCGTCTTAATTAGATGTCCTCGTTTCTATAAAGAGAGTGGGACATCTGCCCAGACGGCGACCAAGGTGGTTGTTTCCTGAAGCTGCCGAGGGTAAATTCATTGAAAACAGTGAGTTCGAGAAGAGGTCACAATGACATTTAATATGGGATGGAGACCATTAAAATGGGACAAAGTCATTTGTAGGTTTAGGAGATGCTGCTGATGGCAGCATTAGTTCCGATTTTGTTACATTTAGCTTGTATCCTAATGCCTATCCATATTTCATTGCCAATGCTGGTATTGTGGGAATTTATTACTTCAAAATATTGTCAGAAAAACGTATTTTATTTTCAACCTTGCCACACTTCACCCCCACGACGGAGTGATTTTCCCTCACCCTTTCGGCGAGTGGTTCCATTGGCAGGGTGCAGAGTAGGGGGAGACAGTGGACTGCCCTGTCTCGTCACCCTTTCCCAGCGAAAAACTCTGAGATGTTAATACATTTGTCATAACTAAGGCCGTGGGATCTGTGTATCAGAGTTTGCACATGTCTATGAATTGTTAGGGAAATTCAAATGTACGCATTATCTTAAATAGAAGTTCCATTCAAGTATATCAAACGCCCTGTCCCCATCCAGCATCAAGGCGTACACTGGGAGATTGTGCCTGCTAGCAATCTCTGTTGCATTGACTCGGGTCCTGACATGTTCAGCGGAGTTTTTATTCTTGATGAAACCCGTCTGAGCCGTTCCTGTCATCGTTGGTAAAATATTTTCCAGTTTACCCGGAAGCATTCATTGATTGCTCTGGTCCTGGAAAGGGGGTCTTTACCTTTGCGTATAGAGCAGATGTATGAGCGGTATTTCTTGGTTTTAACCATTCTTGCTAATAATATTGTGGTGGCTGCAGAGGCATCATGGAAGGGAAGCATGGCTGTTTTCATATCACCTACTCATTTGATAGTTTATCAGTTTATTACATTCTAGTCTCGTCCCATCCAGTTCTTTGATAATTTTCGATTAAAATTTTCGATTATGTAGTTTTTACTTTAGTTTTCTACGTGGTTGTTTAGTAACTGCAGCTACATACTATTAACATTCCTTTCCTTTGTTAATGCTACTCCCTGCACCCTCCCTTGGTGCTGCTGATCCTGCATAATGCATGGGCATAATATGACTTTGAAACCCCCCCGCCCACCTCCTACGCATCTCCCATGAATATGCTAAATTCCTCTTGATATGCACATTCTTTTTGTTAAGGCGCTCCTCTTACACCTCCAACCCAGCTTATATATAAGCTCCTAGCTTGGCAGTGTCTCATTCTTCACCTGAAGACGGCTGCTTGCGTTGTAGCCAAAACGTCGTGAGAATTATTTTATTTTATTATGTTTTATTTTTTATTATTTATCACTTCCCTTCTACGTTACTTTACCGAAATAACCAAGAAGATGATTCTTTGATAATTTCAGCTGATTGCGTGGCTTTACATCCTCTCATCGCTGTTATTTTTCCCAGATGTTTATTTAAGCCTCCATGCTCCCTTCTCCACGAGGGAAACCTCTGATACATACACTTTACGTGCATCCATAGTATTTGGGGAAAGGGAGGTGGGGATGAAGCGACATTGTTACTCATATATCCCTCATTTTCCTCTTTTATTTCTTTGACCAGTTGATCGTGCTCTAAGAGTCGACGGTCTAGGGGTAATAATTTAAAGTCGTTATTTTTTTTTGGTCTAAGATGAATTAGATTGTCATCAGAGCGTGGCCGTACATTTGCATATCCAGGATCTCCGCTTTGGTGAGGTGTGGTAACAGGGGCATGGAGATGAGAAAATAATCGATTCTGGAAAGCTTCTTTTGGGCTCTAGAAATGTGGGTGATTCTCTTTCGGTGGGGTGGAGGGTCCTCCAACGGTCTGTCAACTAGCGTTGAGTGATTATTTCACTGAGTAGAAGCTTCTGTGCCGCGTTTTGGTCAGAATTAGTCGAGTGCCATTTATCTGGAACGGGGTATTTAAGCAGGTTCAAATCGCCTCCTGCGCTAAGACCCCCTTCCTTTTCTCAATAAGAGACGCAATTACAGGAAAAAGTTTTGAATTGATAGGGGGGGGGGGGGGCGGGTGATAGACGTTCATGAGGGTGACTTCTTTGCCCTGCAATGTTCCTACAAAGGGATCTGGGCACAGTACTATTAGTGAGCTCCTCTGGAAGGTGGGACTATTCTGGATCATGTAATCTGCGTGCCCAGACTCCACATGGAGTCTGGGACCCGGCTAAACAGGCACGACATGGGCTAGAGAAGAGATGGGCTAATGCGGTACAGGAGGATGTGGTGCTGAGTGGACTTGCCGATGACCCTGTACCAGCGGTGTCAAGATCGACCTCTATGGAGGAGGCTCGTGAAGGGAAGGACGCCGCGAGGTAGTTAACACCTCCAATGCCAACGTGGCATGGATAGGCTGAGGCCGACTGAGACGTGAGCCCGAGTTTGCATGCGTGGGAAATGCGGTGGCCCTGAGCACGCGGCTTGTGCTGTTGTTACAGGAAAATGCCGGTGGGACACTCCGATGAGACGCTCCGGTGGAACACGCCGGTTGGACCCGCCGGTTGGGAACGCTGATGGGACACGCCCGTGGGACACTCCGGTGGGACACTCTGGTGGGACACTCCGGTGGGACACGCCAATGGTACATGCCGTTGGGACACGCTGGGGACAGCCTGGAGGTCGGGCCCACCAAGACGAGGATGACGAGGACCCCTCATCCACCGCCTCCACTTGCCGCGTCCCCCTCGTCACTCCCCTCATCACTCCCCTCGTCACTTTCCTCGTCTCCCAGCTGAAATCCAGCGGAGTTCTCGTCCCCCTTTACCAGAAGCTCAGGTTTTAGTTTTTGTCCCCTTCTCCGGCACAGTTCGTGTTCAACCATTTCTCTTGGTCCTGGGAGTAACACCGCTCACAAACGGACGGCGGAAGTGGCAGCCCTCTCTCTTCTCTCTCTCCTCTATCTCCCCTATATATCTCCCCTCTCTCTCTCTCCTCTATCTTCTCTCTCCTATCTCTCTCCGCTATTTCTCTCTCCACAACTCGAGGCAAAAGTGTTGCCAAAATTGCCATGGTGACGTTTTCATCTTCTGCCACGGCGACTTCTTCTTCTGCCACG